TGGATTGTGAGGCCCCCCTTTAGGGTCCTCATTCGTGCAGAAAGTCAAGACCAAGTAAACGTTTGCCTAGCTGTTTTGTGAAGAGTTAGTTCTAGTGGAGTCCAGTTAAACGTCTCACAAAAACCTCCCCTAAAAGACCCTAGGGGGTCTGTGCCTGCGAGTAAAGAAGTGATAGTAACTAGTAGTAAATAGGCCACCTTAATTAGTAGTAAATAGGCCATTATAACTAACAGTAAATAGATTAGATCTGATAGACAGAGTGCCTAATGAACTATGGACAGAGGTTCGTGACATTGTATAGGAGACAGGGAGCAAGACCATCCCCAAGAAAAAGAAATGCAAAAAAGCAAAATGGCTGTCTGAGGAGGTCTTACAAATAGCTGTGAAAAGAAGAGACATGAAAAGCAGAAGAGAAAAGGAAAGATATACCCATTTGAATGCAGAGTTCCAACGAATAGCAAGGAGAGATAAGAAAGCCTTCCTCAGTGATCAATGCAAAGAAATGGAGGAAAACAATAGAATGGGAAAGACTAGAGATCTCTTCCAGAAAATTAGAGATACCGAGGGAACACTTCATGCAAAGATGGGCTCAATAAATGTCAGAAACAGTATGGACCTGACAGAAGCAGAAGATATTAAGAAGAGGTGGCAAGAATACACAGAAGAACTGTGCAAAAAAGATCTTCTTGACCCAGTTAATCATGATGGTGTGATCACTCACCTAGAGCCAGACATCCTGGAATGTGAAGTCAAACGGGCCCTAGGAAGCATCACTAGAAACAAAGTTAGTGGAGGTTATGGAATCCCAGTTGAGCTATTTCAAATCCTAAAAAATGATGCTGTGAAAGTGCTGCACTCAGTATGTCAGCAAATTTGGAAAACTCAGCAGTGGCCACAGAACTGGAAAAGGTCAGTTTTCATTTCAATCCCGAAGAAAGGAAATGCCAAAGAATGTTCAAACTACCACGTAACTGCGCTCATCTCATAAGCTAGTAAAGTAATGCTCAAAATTCTCCAAGCCAGCCTTCAGCAATACGTGAAGCATGAACTTCCAGATGTTCAAGAAGGATTTAGAAACGGCAGAGGAACCAGAGATCAAACTGCCAACATCTGCTGGACATCAAAATAGCAAGAGAGTTCCAGAAAAACATCTATTTCTGCTTTATTGACTATGCCAAAGCCTTTGACTGTGTGGATCACAATAAACTGTGGAAAATTTTGAAAGAGATGGGCGTATCAGACCACCTGACCTGCCTCTTGAGAAATCTGTNCTGGGTGTTCATTGGAAGGACTGATGTTGAAGCTGAAACTCCAATACTTTGGCCACCTGATGCGAAGAGCTGACTCATTGGAAAAGACCCTGATGCTGGGAAAGATTGAGGGCAGTAGGAGAAGGGGAAGACAGAGGATGAGATGGTTGGATGGCATCACTGACTCAATGGAAATGGGTTTGGGTAGTCTCCAGGTTTGGTGATGCACAGGGAGGTCTGGTGTGCTGCAGTTCATGGGGCTGCAAAGAGTCGGACACGACTGAGTGACTGAACTGAAGTGAACTGAAATAGGCCATCGTAACTAGTAGTAAATAGGTCATCTTATCTAGTAGTGAATATGCCAACCACAGGATCTCTCTGACAACTGGTAATTGTTTGCTTCATTTTTACCTTCTGGTTCGCTTTCAAGCATTTTATTTTCTGTGACAGATTTCCAGGCTTAGTTAAATTTGAAAAATAGCTTAGACTTGTTCAATCTTTCTGTGCCAAAGTTTGACATCCACAAATAAGGGATCTGTACTAGTTGATAATTATAATGCTCTTCAGTTATTTATAGAGTGTTTTTGTGCTTACAATCTTATTTAATCTTCCCAATAATCATTCGGATTATGTATTTTCTCCAAGGTCTTATAAATTTCTAATACCATGTTTCTGTATTTAGAAATAGGAGGAATACATATTTTTGTTTTATTACTAATATTTCTTTGGCTGTGCCACACAGCTTGTGGGATCTTAGTTCCCTGGCCATGGAGTGAACCTGGGCCCTTGACAGTGAAATCGTGGGGTCCTAACCACTGGATCACCAGGGAATTCCCAAAATACATATTTTAATACTTTCTAAAGAATACGGACACTTGCATAGGAATGTGAAATTATGATGATTAAGATGAATATGTAGATCAAGATTAAATCTTGAGACCATAAAAAAAAATCTTCATTTTATGAATGCATAATCAATTGTGTCTGACCCTTTGTGAACCCATGGACTGTAGCCCACTAGGCTCCTCTGTCCATGGGATCTCCATTCAAGAATATTGTAGTGGGTTGCCATTTCCTTCTCCAGGGGATCTTCCTGACCCAGGGATCAACCCAGAGATTGAACCCACATCACCTGTGTCTCCTGCCCTGGTTGGCAGATTCTTTACCACTGAGCCACCTGGGAAAGGACGCAAGTGGTACTTGCAGTCCAAATAGAGTCATCACGATGACTTCCAGCCCTATCAATGGTCTGGTCTCCTTTCTTTTACAAGTCAGATCTTCAAATACTTTGCATTAATCAACGACGGGAGAGGAGGGGAAGGTTAACGCTTATAGAGTGATCTAAAAACAAACTGACAGGAAAACATCTATTAATTTTCAAAACTGAGAAGGTTGCCAGGTATCTGTGAAACTACCACTGCAGAATATATTACAAAAGAGTGAGAAGTGCAGACAGCAGGGAATTGCTATTTATAGAGACTGAGCAATCTGCTGGGGTAGGGATGAGTACCTTGGTCAGGAGGAGACCCTGGACAGGAGGGCCCAGGCTTAGCAGGCATCTAGAAGTAGAAACAAGGCCAGCCTGGAGTAGCTACCTTTACCAAGCTGTGCTTGGAGAGCAGCAAGGCGAGTTTCCTGACTCCTATGTTGACTCATTATTTGCCACAGTGCCTGAAATTATACTTTCAGTCATGTTTTTCTTTGTGTCTTCAAGGGATTTCAGCCTCAGAGGTTCTAGGGGCCCTGAGAGCCATTCAGGGCTTCCCAGGCTCAGTGATAAAGAATCCACTTGCAAAACTGGAGATGCAGGAGACATGGGTTTGATCCCTGGGTCAGGAAGATCCCCTGGAGGAGGGCATGGCAACCCAGAACAGTATTCTTGCCTGGAGAATCCCATGGACAGAGGAGCCTGGCAGGTTACAGTCCGTGGGGTCACAAAGAGTTGGACATGACTGAAGTGCATTAGCAGCAGCAGCAGGCAGCAGGCAGGAGACGTTCAGCTAAGAGTAAGCATTATATGGACTGGATTGAAGCTAAATGTTCTCATATTAGTCTTAAAAACAAGACAACAGGCCCCAAATGGAGTCACTTATGCTAAGCACCATGTCACAAAACCAAGACTTAATTAGTTTTCCCAGAAATAGAATCTTAAGCCAGTCAGTCAGGAATGGCCTGATCAGCACTGGTTAGGTATTCTGCCTGTTAGACCCCTGCCATCTCCTATAGGAAAGTGACCTTGCAACACACAGCCCAGTTTTTTGCCATGTGTAACTTCCTTATTCCTGCTCCCTTCTGCCTATAAAAGGCTTTCATTTGTATAGTTCTGTGGAGCTCCTTTGTCTTTGCTAGGTTGGATGCTGCCCAATTCAAGAACCGGTGAATGAAGCAATAAGACCTTTAAAATTTACTCAGTTGGATGCAAACATAGAAAAGAGACTTGTGGACACAGAGGATGGGATGAATTGAGAGCGTAGCATGGAAACATATACATTATCATATGTAAGATAGATCACTAATGGGAAATTTCTGTAAAACACAGGGAGCTCAATGCACTCTGTGGCAACCTAGAGGGGTGGATGGGGTGGGGAGTAGGGGGAGGTTCAAGAGGGAGTGGACATATGTATACCTATGGCTGATTCATGTTGATGCATGGCAGAAACCAACTCAATATTGTAAAGCAACTATCCGCCAATTAAAAAGAAATACATTTTTTAAAAGCTTAAGGAGGGAATTTCAAAAAAATTTACCCGGTTGAATTTTGCTTTTTAACAGTAGCAAAAGAGAAGGGCCGAACAGTGTGAGAGGGAGAGAAAGAGGGTCACAGGTGGCAACTTTAGACATGCTCTCACTTCATAAATCTGCCTAAAGCTGGCCTCAGGGGAAAATGAACTACACTTTTGCCAAAAATTATAAGAAAAATTCTGTAAAAGTTTTTCCTTTTTCTATAATTTTTTGGAGGGGTTCTTTTTACTTTTCTAAATTTGCCCACATTCTTCTTTTTAAGTTACTTGCAAACCATGGCATCTGCCTTCAGCAAATACACTTAAACTTCCTCCACATTCACACATTTCTGCAAAATCAAATACATGATCAGATTTAATAAAATTATTCAAGAACTGCACATGATTTACTGCAGGCCTCAGCTCATTTATTTAAAGCTCACAGTACATATGGGCAGATTGTTATGTTCAAACCACTGAGACTGGCTTGTACACTAAACAAGTCAGTTTGATCAAAGCATGATCTTTGAGGAAACTTTTTTGACAAAATTTACCTTAAGGCTTACTTGTCTCAAAATAGTTTAGCACAGTGCCTACACGTGGTATATGCTCAATAAATACTTTTTAAAATGCATTTCATTATGATGGTCATAATTAAATAATAAATAACAATATAATTAAATAACTACTCCAAGTTGGAAGGAAAAGAAAAAAAAAGATAGTTTCACAACTATTAGAAAAATTTGCTGTGGTATAAAGGCAAGATGAAATGCAAATTACCCCCAAATACACACACACACACACACACACACACACACACACTCCATATTTAAACCAGAAGCTACAGTCATTTTAATTTCTCACTCTCTTGGACATATTAATTATGTCTGAAAATTTGAAAAGGCTACCATTCTGGGATATTAATAATTGAGAGTTCTTATGAAAGTAACTTCAGGACCACAGTATAAAAAGATCAGAATGGTGACTTACTTATTTTCTAAATGTTGGTGAGTTTTAGAAATGCACTTACCCCATTTGGACAGTTGACCCCAGAAATGAGGGTATGCAGTAGTCAGCAGCTGCCAGTGTGTATGGTGGACGAGCAGCAGAATCATCCCAGTAAATATCCTTCTTCATTTTGGGTAAGCTCATGTGCATTTCATCCACAGCCAAAAGAGAGACCTAAAATCATCAGTATAGTGTTAGAATAATTCTGATGTGAATTCATGAAGAAAGAATAAGTTCCAGTGGGTGAATGAAGTTTGGAGTAGGACAGAACACAGTGTGAATGAGTGAATATATAAATGTCCACAGTTTATATTTGCTGCAACTAGAGCTGCTACAGAGAGCTGTATATGTCGTTTACTTGGCAGTGGGGGTAAGTGGGGCCATAAAGCTGCCCAGACTAGATTCATCAAGCCACATACCCCAGAGTGGAGCACATCTTATTTGGATGCAGGAGAGACATCTTTTTATTCTTTGCTCAAAATTATCTAATTGTCTAGTGGATATCCTGACAGCAACCACATAATCCCAGATATTACAGGAAGCTGAAGATTTCAATATACCATTTCACTGATTCCATAAGTACATTTATACTTGATATCACTTCTTATTTGCCATGAATTTTTTTGTTTGATTTTTTTAGAAAAATATATCAACAAGTCTATACTGCTTGCGGTCATAATGGTCTTCTCCTCTTGACTTTGGCAAATTGATGCTTGAATAAATTATTAAACTTCCAGGAATCCAATTTTTACAGTGAGTGGTATAGGCATTACAATTCCTCCTTAACAGGCTGACAATGTGATTATTGGGGGTCATACAGAGGTTATGATCTATAAGATGAACCAAGGTAATAGGGTGGGCTTCTGTCCTTGGAATATACATTCCGCCCATTGTCCCCATAGTGGGAGCTGTTTCAAGAATACAATCTTGAGAGAGCAATGTGTTGTTGAGACCATCTGGACTGACTACATGACTGAACCCCAGTAAGGCTTCTATGTCAAAGTTTAGGATTCTGGCAGGTAGATGTGGAGGTCTATTCACCTTGTATCTCCCCAAGATACGCCTCTTGAGTAAGTTCCCTAGCTTGTTAAAACTGTTACATTCCAACCTAACTTGGTCTGCCTTTTTTTTTTGGTCCCCCCTTTCCCTCTGTGTACAGCGGCTAGCTTGTGAACCAACAGTAAAATGTTTGATACTGTTTAAGAGCTGAGTAAGGACTTGAAACAAATGGGCAAGCTGAAGGCCTTTTCTTGGTTAGGTTTTCAGGAGGGAGAATCGTTGGAGGGGAATCTCGCCTAAAATAAAAATTCTCCCATGCTACCTCTTCATGAATAAGTTCTCTGGAATAATGCTTCAGTGTAAAAGCCCTGGCGTCCGTCTGGCACCATTGAAGGAGATTTTGAGACACAGGCTGGCCTGGCCCCACATTCTCAGTGTCCAGCTGCTGGACATCTGACTGCAGGGATCTACAAGATGTGCACTTTGGAACTCACACTGTGTTATGGCTACCACTTTATGTCACTGTTAATCTTTTTAGGTGGCAATTGGAAACATTAAAAATGTATTAAAATATTGGTCTGTACTGAGATGGAAGAGGCTATGTAAAGCTAATAAAGAAACTTACCAAGAAAACTGGCTTAAAGTTCTATTGAAAAGGGATGGAATTTCACTGGACCTGAGATCCAGTGAGGTTTGTAAGGTTCCAAAAGAACCTGGAAGCAACATACTGAACAGCCAAACCTCTTTCGTTTGTGGCTAAAGCTCTCAACTTCAGAGGCCTGCGTTCAGAGTATGTTTAGATTATTAATGTTTGTAAAGGAAAGAAAAGCTTCTCCAACCTGTAGATTTCTGTCAATGCACCAGTTAGTTTCAAAATCATCATCGTCTTCTCCAAAAGGATTGATAAGCTGCTCAGCTACCTGCAATTGAGAACATAGAATGAGTCCACCATGATGCTTGTGAAGACTAAGAGCGGAGTTTGGAGAGGACTCCTGTTTCACTCTCTGATTCCTTTTGTCACCTTTCAGAGCAGGAAGCCTAGAGCAGAGCGGGAGTGTGTTGGTAAACACACAGGTGTTTATCAGTCAGCAGGACTGAACTCTCAGACTGCCAGTCGTGCACCTGCGTGGGTCTGCTCTTCAAAGGCTCTGTCTATTCTGCTGGTGACAGTGCAGGTCCCATCCAGGAGAAGCCATGGGCTGTTTAGGAACCAAAAGACTGATTCTCGGGTACAAATCAGCCAGCAAATATCGAAGGAGTTCTGACAATATGCTAGGAGCTTCAAGGGGTGCAGAGCCTGTGCTCTGAAAGAATTTACAAAAGCCCAGGTGATGAGAGAAAATGTAACCGTGGGCAAGGTTAAAGAGCAAAGAAAGACTTAAATCGCAACTAAAGAAAATATTACAAGGAGATTTCACAGTAACTGGACATAACTACAAAGTGAGTGAGTCAGAGAGGAGTAAGTCATAAAGCTGGACTTTTTCTTACTTAGTTTTAAATTAAAGGATTTACTGCAACTTACTTAGAAGTTGCATAGGTTTTTATCATATATCTTCTAATAGTTGGTCAGTATTAGATGTTCTTACCATGCTCCTGAATTGAACAGCCTTCTTTTAAAAACAACTTTTTTTTTTGACCGCACTGCATGCTGTGGGATCCTAGTTCCCGACCAGGGATCAAACCCATTCCACGCTCTGCAGTGGAAAGGCAGAGTCTTAACCACTGGACTGCTAGGGAAGCCCCTGGCTTCTCATCTTCTTGATGAGAGATTTATATGCCAAATGAGACTCACCTGGCTTTTTTTAATTCATTCCCTTTGATTTTTTTATTATTTGGATGTGTGTGTGTGTGTGTGTGTGTGTGTGTGTGTGCATGCATGTGTGTGGTTTTACATTGGGCTTAAATGTGAAAAACTTACAAATGTGTAAAAAAGAAGTACCATTGATTAGTTGGGTTCCTAGATTCTGAGACTTCTTGGTAAAAAAGTTCTATCTATATATTTTTTAGGATTTAGGTCTAATCATTTAAAGCTGTTCTCAACATTGAGTGAACATCAAAATGATCTGAAAAGCTTTCAAAGAAAATTGATGGCTAGGTCCCTCCCTCAGAGATTCTGATTTAATGGGTGTGAAGCTGAGCCAGGCATCAGTAGTGAGTAGAGCTCCCACGAGATTTTAATGTGTGGCCTTTGTTGAGAACCACTGATAGAGAAGGATACCCCCCTGTTCTAAGGACAGCCCTGGCCGGGCTGGTGCCTGGATCAGTCAGCTGCGCAGAAACATCCATGAAAGAGTCTGTCAATGCAAGTTCCAAGAGGTTGTCTACCCTTTCTCGCCTGGTGCGAGCATGCGTGCTAAGTCACTTCAGTTACGTCTGACACTTTGTGACCCCATGGACTTTAGCCCTACAGGTTCCTCTGCCCATGGGATTCTCTAGGCACGAATACTGGAGTAGGTTGCCATGCCCTTCTCCAGGGGAATCTTCCCAACCCAGGGATTCCAACTTAGGAAGCCTATTTTTGCCTGGGGTTTTCTTTAAATAAAATGGGCCGCTGGATGGGTCCTGAAAATACTTTTGTTACATCCAGAATTTCAGTTTCTTGACATCAGTCCTGCATATAATATTACAGTCTACCTTTAACTACCAAAATGATATCCATGATTTTGAACGGACTGTCACAAAGATAGCCTTTACTCACTTTGAGGCTCCGTTTCTAGAAAATAACTAGTAATAGACTGTTCATAAGGTTAAGTTGGGTTTTCTACACTTCAATATTTATAAATATTAGAATGGTCAAGACAAAATAGCTGTTTAGAAATTGAGATGCAATTCACTGGATGGGAAAACTCCCTTCTCTCACAGTCGCCTATCTCTTAATGGAGCTAAGATTTTCTTTTCATATTTTGCATTCAAAAATATTTTATAAAGGAAAAGAATGTTAATATTTTATTTTTTGGGGGGGGGCACTCTGCACAGCATGATGCAGGACCTTAGCTTCCTGACCAGGGATCAAACCCATGTCCCTTGCAGTGTAAGCAGCAATCTTAACCACTGAACCACCAGGGAAGTCCCAAGAATGTTAATATATTAGAGAGCACTTCAAAAGGCAGGAACTGCTGACTGTTCCTTCCAGCCTGGCTGATCACTTCACACGAGCACAAAGTGAAAAATAAAAAGCTCAGCACAACTCAGGCAAAAGGACAATAGAAGGCCAGAATGATTGAGGATTGAGTGTTTGGGCCAATTGTGGTTACCACTGAACCACCAGGGAAGTCCCAAGAATGTTAATATATTAGAGAGCACTTCAAAAGGCAGGAACTGCTGACTGTTCCTTCCAGCCTGGCTGACCACTTCACATGCGCACAAAGTGAAAAATAAAAAGCTCAGCACAACTCAGGCAAAAGGACAATAGAAGACCAGAGTGATTGAGGATTGAGTGTTTGGGCCAATTGTGGTGATTTTCTGTTTAAAAAGTTAGAATGTACTTTTTCTCTAATGAGAAATGAGAGCTGTTAGTCTCTTTTCCTCTTCGTCCTAAATGGGTAAAAATAATCGAGTCTCTGTCATCTGGTTAAAAATGTTTTTGCCATTTGGAAAGGAAATGCCTTTACTCTTTGGAGGGTAACTTGAAATGCCAACGTATTTATTTTTTTCCTGGTTAAGATTCAAACCAATGAAAGCAAAGGCGTCTGCAGGGAAAAGGCTGCAACAAACTGGAAGACCTGGATGTGCATGTCGACACGTGTGTTTTTGGAAGGTCAGACATTTGGAATTCTACTTTATTAAAGTTACCTTCAAAATGTCCTTAGATTTCTTACCTTAAAGAAGGCATAATCTTTGATCTTTTCTGTCACTTACTAAAGAGAGGGAAGAATCAGGTTTCTGATATTGTTACATACATTGGGGTGGAAGAGAGATGATGGTGGGAACAAATAAAATTTAATGCTGATGACTGGACTAGTTCTTTTCATTGCTCTGACCTGCTTTTAATTTCCTGGCAAACCAAATGTTGTCATTAATCCTGGTGTTTCTGGTTTTGATTCCGATGAATTCCTTCGAGTCTCAGTTCTGGTTTTAAAAATGGAATTCATTTAATGTCGTGAGGCAGCTAGTGGGATTTCAGGGAATAGAAACTATTTAGAGTTGAGCAGAGCCAAGATGGTTTAGTCACTCAATCGTGTCTGATTCTTTTCAAGCCATGGACTGTATAGTCTGCCAGGCTCCTCTGTCCATGGGATTTCCCAGGCAAGAATACTGGAGTGGAATACCATTCCCTTCTCCAGGGGATCTTCCTGACCCAGAGATTGCACCCACATCTCCTGCATTGCAGGTAGATTCTTTATCACTGAGCCACCTGGGAAGCCCAGAACCAAGAAAATAATGTAATAATCATGCTTAAGTCTGAGATACAAGACTTCTTATTTACCTTCTTTTACTCTGCCTAGTCTCTTGTTGTGGTATAAAATATCAATGCAGGTATACTTAATACTTTAATTACATTATCGTAATCCTAATGGGAGCACACAAAGGCTTAACACAATCAATGGCCATAAAAGAGTAACGTCTTTGCATAAATGAGCTGCTTCAGATCTCCGCAGTACAGTACTCACCACATCCCTGCCACTTGAACTCCCAGTTGAAAAATAGTAACATCTCAGCTAGTAAATGTTAAATCTACCTTGGAGTCACTCATGAACGAATGGTTCAGTAATGGATCAGTGTGCAGAGTTTGGAACAGGACCTAGATTGTAGAGAGGGTCTCAGGCACGGAGGCTGTTGGCTACCTTGAGCCATCCTGCATAGAAGAAGAACTGTAGGAGGGTGAAGACTGGAATGTAAAGATCTAAGTCATGCCCCGCATAGCCTTTGGTGGGATCCAAAAACTGGCGTCCGATCAGGCAGGCAAAGAAGAAGGTGTAGACAGCCAGCGTGACCACCTGAAACAGAGAGAAAGCCTGCTGAGAGCACAGCCCTGGCTGCCCCGAGAGAGCCAGCATGCCAAAGTGGGCAATGGGAAGAAAAAAACCACGTGCCAAGGATTTGATACCTGGGTGTAAACCAGCGGAATCCCAACCCAGTCATAACCAAATAAGAGGCTGCACCAGGAGCGAAATCGGTTCATTTCCTAAGCCAGAAATAGATAAAACATGATTTATTAAGATGAAGGGTGCGGTAAATTACATTTACTGGGATTCAGACTATGGCTGTGGCTTTTAGAAATACACCTATAGAATAATGATCGCGACTTCGAAAGAACTAGAAATTGGTTCTGAAGTCCACTCCAAAAGGAAAATTTTGAAAATGACAAGCTATTGACATCATTCAATGATGTGCAAAAGGGATAAGTACAGTTGTACAGTTTAAAAAAAATATTAAGATAAATTGGGATGGTATAGAAATATCCCCTACCCTATTGAATTCATAATTTCCCACACTTATATATATATGCCCAAAGGGGTGGTAGAAATGCAGTAGTTAATATTTTAAACAATCATTTCTAAATTATGTAGAGAGCAGATTATTTTTTGTTTCCTCTATCTCTTTTGAAAACACGCTTACTGAAGATCTTAGGAAAAAACCTAAATACATCCTATGCCTTTCCCAACGAAAGAAGACTCTAGAATACTTCTATTGACAGAAAATCTATCTCTGTTAAAGCAGAAAGGACTGAGATCCATTGATTTCTTTTTTCTCTACTGAACACAAGTTATTATTTAAGACTGAGAAAGAGTATATGCTAATTTGGGAGCTATTTTAAAATCATTCACTTCTTTTAGCCTAATGAAGGCAGGAGACTGTCATGGCACAAATCTATCTAGCCCATCTATAAATTTGTTTCTCAAATGCATTCAGGATTATTTCATTTAATTAAAACCCAGTTTTGTTTCCTGGGTCATCTGGAAAGCTGATTAACTTTGCTAAGTCACTTCAGTCATGTCCGACTCTTAGTGAACTGTCAGACTGTAGCCCACCAGGCTCCTTTGTCCATGGAATTCTCCAGGCAAAAATATTGGAGTGGGTTGCCATTTCCTCCTCCAGGGGATTAACTTTGGGATATTCCAATTTGGGAGAACTTACTGGGGATTTGGGTCCAGGATCCTGGAATTAGGGATGGCAAATATGCCTGTTGGGTGCCAGAACCTTCTGAGCCCTTTGCAGACATTGCTGATCAATCAAGGAACACTTTCTTATAGAGCCTATTACAAAGCCTGTGTGTGTTAGTCGCTCAGTTCTGTCCTGTTCTTATCAACCCCATGGACTGAAGCCCGCTAGGCTCCTCCATCCATGAAATTCTTCAGGTAAGAATACTGGAGTGTTTTCCATTTTCTTACTCCAGGGGATCATCCTGACCCAGGGATTGAACCTGAATCTCCTGCATTGCAGGTGTATTCTTTACATATTCTTTACGTCTGAGCCACCAGGGAAGCCTATTATAAAGCCTTCAGTTCAGTTCATTTCAGTTGCTCAGTCGAGTCCGACTTTTTGCGACCCCATGGACTGCCACATGCCTGGCCTCCCTGTCCATCACCAACTCCTGGAATTTATTCAAACTCAAGTCCACTGACTCGGTGATGCCATCCAACCATCTCATCTTCTGTCATCCCCTTCTCCTCCTACCTTCAATCTTTCCCAGCATCAGGGTCTTTTCAAATGAGTCAGTTCTTCACACCAGGTGGCCAAAGTACTGGCGTTTCAGCTTCAGCATCAGTCCTTCCAATGTATATTCAGGACTGATTTCCTTTAGGATGGACTGGTTGGATCTCCTTGCAGTCCAAGGGACTCTCAAGAGTCTTCTCCAAAACCATAGTTCAAAGTAGGCTTTATAATGAATGATGAAAAAGTTGGCTTAAAACTCAACATTCATTACAAAGCCTACTTCTGCTTAAAACAGCCTCTAAGCAACCACCTCCAGTCAACCTCAGTTAAAACTGTGTTATAGTCTCCTCCTGCATTTGAGGGTTCTAATCCCAGCCCAGTCTTTCTGGTTCCTCTGGAACCAGGATTGAACAAAGCGGACTCGTCCAGGTCCAGTCTTTTACATCCAAGTCCCTTTTGGTGTCTGATTCATATCTTTTAACTGATGTTTGCAATGTACTTACAGTCATCAGTGATTGAAGATCAACACTGTCTCTGATTCTACCTTCCTTCCGGGCTTTAGCTGCGAGATTTCCAAACCAGATGAATGGAACCCAGTATTTCAGATGAGGAGATTTCAGGTGGTCGAATAATTTTCTTTCATCTGCTGTCATAAAACCTTTACACAAAATAAAAAGAGATAGGTTACGTAGACTTGATTTAGCATTAATATTTATCTTAGTTGCTCAGTCATGTCCTACTCTTTGTGACCCCATAGATTGTAGCCTGCCAGGCTCCTCTGTCCATGGAATTCTCCAGGCAAGAATACTGGAGTGGGTTGCCATTTCCTTCTCCAGGGGATCTTCCTGACCAGGGATTAAACTGGCATCTCTTATGTCTCTTGCATTGCGGGTGGATTCTTTACCATCTAAGCCACCAGGGAAGCCCCTTAGCATTAATATATTACTCTAAATATTTCAGTGTCTACTATGTGAGCATATAATGGGGGATATTCAAGAAATTTAAAAAAAATGCGGTTCCTGTCTCAAGTAGTTTTTACTTGTATTAGACAAAAGGAGAACTTACCTCTGTAGGGACTGCTTACATGCATTGCCTTATATACTGATATATAGCTGTGTGTGCGTGTGTGTGTGTGTGTGTGTGTGTGTGTGTGTGTATGACTGCAGGGCCAATAGGAAGCAAGGTGACATTAAATGTGGACTAGGACATCAGGGGAATGTCTCTTCTTTAGGGTTTGGTAAAATTGAGAACAAGAATACTTAGAATTGTTCGGATTAAAAGAATAAAAGGTGATAATGTATACAAAGCACTTAGTGTTTTGCCCAACAGGTGAATCACATGACTTTTCCTCCTGGTGCTTCTTTTCAAATACCTAATGAACCAGGTTCTCTTCTGAGAAGCCTTCCCTGATTCCTTCCACCTCTCCCTTCAGATCACCATGGTGCTCTCTCTTGCCTCCTGTTATGGTTGTGTTAGACACATGTTTCCCCCGATAAAACCCTTTGGGAGGGCAAAAAGCATATTATCTTCACAGTCCCCACAGCATTTTGCATATACTTTATTTATTTATTTTTTTAGAATTCTGAGATTTCTTTTTCTTTTTCTTTTTTTTTTATTAGTTGGAGGCTAATTACTTTACAATATTGTAGTGGTTTTTGTCATACATTGACATGAATCAGCCATGGATTTACATGTATTCCCCATCCTGATCCCCCCTCCCACCTCCCTCTCCACCATTACTCAGCCATTAAAAAGAATTCATTTGAATCAGTTCTAATGAGATGGATGAAACTGGAGCCCATTATACAGAATGAAGTAAGGCAGAAAGATAAAGACCATTACAGTATACTAACACACATATATGGAATTTAGAAAGATGGTAACGATAACCCTATATGCAAAACAGAAAAAGAGACACAGATGTATAGAACAGACTTTTGGACTCTGTGGGAGAAGGCGAGGGTGGGATGTTTCAAGAGAACAGCATCGAAACATGTATATTATCTAGGGTGAAACAGATCCCCAGCCCAGGCTGGGTGCATGAGACAAGTGCTCGGGCCTGGTGCGCTGGGAAGACCCAGAGGGATCGGGTGCATATACTTTAAAAGCGTTTCTTTGATTTTGTGTGTCTCCGTGTGTGTGTGTGTGTATGTATGTATGTGTGTGCATAACACAATTTGCTTCAGCTTTTGGTGACTTCTCTGAGCCTCAGTTTTCTCATGTGTAAAAGAGAGATAATAATGTTTACTTCACAAGGATGTTGTAGGAATACCTGAGATGAGGAACAATGTCAAGAGGTTAACAAAACACTGCACGTAAATAACACTCAGTAAGTGCTAACACATAATATATGATGTGAAAGTTTACTTATCCTCCACCGCCTGCACACCAAAAGAAGAGACTTGAATAATAAGAGAGGAATAATAAGGTAGCAGGTTTATTTATTAACAAACATTTATGGAGTGTCTACTATGTAAAAAGCTTTGTTCATATAAATATGTGCTTCAAAAGCTTACTGTTTACACTTGACCTTTTATTTATTTTTAATTCAATTGAGTAGTTCAGTTAGCACAAAAATCCTAACAGGCTAAAGAAATATTAATGGGGAAAGTAAGTCTCATTTTCCCAACCAACCAGTTTCCCTCTCTGAAGGAAATCACTGCAACCAGGTTGTTGTGTATATTTCCGGAGAAATATACACAGATTTCATACAGGCCAAATTTTTAAAAACACAAATGACTTTACACTCCATACATGTCTGCCATTTGCTTCTTTGTTTCAAGTTATATCTTGGAGATTTTTTTGTTAAGATGTGGAGAGCAGAATCATTCTTTTTAATGGCTGTATTCTAGTTAGCTTCATACAATATTTTACACAACTAGTCTTCTTTTGAACAGAGTTTTAAGTTGTTTTCACAAAGCACCGGGCTGAGGTCCCTATGCTGCCCAACAGCTTCCCACTAGCTATCAATTTTACACATGCAGTATAGTTAGCTTCGTACAATATTTTACACAACTAGTCTTCTTTGGAACAGAGTTTTAAGTTGTTTTCACAAAGCACCGGGCTGAGGTCCCTATGCTGCCCAACAGCTTCCCACTAGCTATCAATTTTACACGTGCAGTACATATATGTCAATGCTGCTCTCTCAGTTCATCCCACCTTCTCCTTCCTACCTGTGTCCATAACACCATTAGGGCAAGATTGCTGACCCAGTGTTGCACCTCACAGTCACATGTGCCTTTGCCTAAGCTCAAATGCCTTTCAGAAAATACCAGTGCCTTTGCCTTATCCCCAGAGGTCTTGATTCAATTGGTCTAGTGTAAGGTCCAGGGGTAAGCAAGCTTTTAAATCTTCCTGGGTGATCTAACGAATTGGGTCCAGGCAGTTGCATGTTTACAAATCTCTGCAGGAAATTCTGAACCACAGCGATGCTTGGAAAATCACTGCCTCACTGAATGAAGATTCTGTTAACTCAGTTTGAAATAAACAGAGTAACAATTACAAGGTGAGTATTTACCAACAAGAGACTTGTTTTAGATAATACTCAGGTTATTTACATTAGCTTTGAAAAGGTCTGCCCACGCCAGGGGAACTGAACTCTCTCTGGTGGGCAAAAATAAGAATGAGCCCACGAATTCTTGTCTTGTTCCTCAGTGCATTTCAAAGTTGTTGCATGATCTAGATAATCCATTTGGGTTTTTGTTTTAAAAGACTTGCAGAGTATGATTAAATCTAATTATAAGAAGTCAATAGATGAAATTGACCTGTCTTGGCTCTGTGCTTAAAGACCTACTGCAACCTTTCACCCTTTCCCTGGAAGCCTATTCTCAGACATTTCATATCAATTGTCTAACAGTTACAGTCTTGGGATTTATAATGCAATTGCCAAAAATGACCGCATTTGTATACTTGGCTGAAATCTCTGTCATTTGACCAAAGAATAACTTTACCTCTGGTTATTTTTTATTCAGGAGTATGGATCAAATTGTGCTGGCCAGTCCTTTCTTGGCTTCTTAGCAGAAAGCAAATGTGCAGAGTGAGGAATTATTTAATGCAAACACTAAAGCAAGAGTTAGGTACCCCCCTCCCCCCACCCCTGTCGTGTAACAAACCCATTGGTTGAAAAGGGACACGTAAAGTTAGGAAAGCAGGGGTTTTAAATGTTCAGTCCAAATTTACTGAGTACTTTGCTAGGTGCTGTGAAAAATGAACCAGACACTAATGTGTCCTCCAAGAGTTACAGGCAGAATAATTTTTATTATCTCCTTCAGGGTTACACGTCTTATACAAAGTAAGCCTCTTTGGAAATTGAGTTACTGGTCCCTTGAAAGAAAAGTCTAGATTGTTAGTGAAATCAATTCAGAGAGCATTTGTTATTAAATGGAATGCTTTCCTCATCAGTGCTTCAGACCATTTTAACCAGAGATCAATGATATTTCCAGAATGTGGTCATTATCCTCGTCTCTAAGGCTATGTTCACCACAGGTATCGATTTGCTGCAGTTTGGCAATACCATCAGTTGGCTGATCCTCACGTAACCCTGTTTCCTTCACATATCTATCTTCATGCCACATTTCCTCAGACCCTATCCACACTCCTAACATTGCTATTTTATCTTGCTATTGCATCTGGCTTGAATTTCTCTTGCTGTCTCTTTTCCTTCTGGTTTTCTGGCTAGTTCAGCTCTGCTCAGCAATTTTCATACTGCTTATACCAAAGAACACTTTTTAATATTTCAAATTAGAGTAAAAAAAAATATATATATATATGGATATGTAATTATGCATACACACAGGGGCTTCCCAGGTGGCGCTAGTGGTAAAGAACCCGCCTGCCAATGCAGGTAGACAGAAGAGACATGGGTTTGATCTCTGGGTGGGGAAGATCCCCCGGAGGAGGGCATGTCAACCCATTCCAGTATTCTTGTTTGAAGAATCCCTTGGACAGAGGAGCCTGGCGGGCTATAGTCCATAGGACACAACTGAAGTGACTTAGCACGCATGCATGCACACACACACACACACGTTTGTATTTTCTTGTGACTTGAATTGCGGCTTGATGGGGTAGGATCTGCTATTTTAAGGCAAAATTTTATTGCTTTAAAAAACCAAAGGACCAATTAAGTCCATTAATCAACAATATTCCAGCAATTGCAGATTTGGTTGCAGCTGAGACAGATGTCTTTTGCCTTTAAAGCAGAGATGCCTGTGAGGCTCTATTAAGAGAAGAGCTAAGAGCTCTGCTTCTCAAAACTTTTAACAGGGTTTATTGCCAATTCTTTCTGAAAGAGTAACTTGTGCATTCAGCATCTCAGCTGTTCTCAGAGAGGTTCCGACTTCTTCGGAAGCATTGCAATGAGCCTGATTCATTTTCCTCTGTGTACTTTCCAAATGAATGGAATGAAGCCACCAGATTCAGCTGCAGCTGTTCTTTAAATTCAATGGTAGAAGTTCAGAAATCCCTGTCAACTGGGAAAACCAAGAGAAGGCAAAATGCGACTGAGAGAGAGATGCAATCTCAGTGTGAAGGCATTGTGGAAAGCAGTATTCAGGCATATTTTTTTTTCCCTCTATAAAACACAGAAAGAAAGATATCCCAAAACAATTATTGGCTTTTCTGCATGAGGTGCCCCTTGATTTTTCTGCTCTGTTCCATTCC